TTCATGCATGTATGGACGAATGGATGGCTTCTTTTATAATGAAAGAAAACATTTTCTGTATTGTATTTTGCCTTATTTTTTTGAAGAACTAGAATGATTTTATTGATTAGATAATTTTCTTAGTTTCCCAGGACTACAGTATCAAAATACCACAAAGTGAGTGGCTTTAAAGAACAGAAATTTGGGAGGCTAGGAGTCCAAGTTCAGGGCGTTGGAAGATCCTTCTTTGTCTCTTCTAGTTTCTGGTAACCCCAGAGTTTCTTGGCATTCCTTGGCTTGCAGCTATAATTAAATCGAACTGAGATGAAGACACTAAAGACAAAATGCCCAATTTTATGTGGATGTTTGTATTGCCTTCAATTATACCTTCAATTGTGTATGCTTCTTAAAGTCATACTTCAGAAAGGAGTTTTGCTCTAAGAGATAAGCAAACTGTTTTCTGAAATGCATCCCTTTGATTAGGAATACTCAAAATTCAGTGGGGGAAGAGATCCCATAGAGCACACGTTTAAAATGTACTCTCTGCTGCCCTATCCCTGGAGGTACTTATTCAGTAGGTTGAGCAAAGTTATGACCATAAACTTGAATTTATGATTCTCTTATGATATATACTCTTAATTTCTTATACCTTCTAAAAAACTTTCTCTGGGGGAGATAAGCAATATCCTTTAAAAAAAATTTTTTTTTTTTTTTGCACATAATTACAAAGTTGGAGATAAGTCATACCAGAAGATTTTATGTATAGGTCATGGAAAAAAATTTATGTTTTCATATTGTTTGGTTTGCTAAGATATGTCATAAAGCATTAAACATTCATAATTCCCTATAACTAAGTTTGAAATATTAAATAGAACCAGACATTTAATCTTCACTTCTACGTATTTTGGTTGATACCCTTAATTTGTGCTTATGTGATGATTTTCCTCAACATGATAGATATAATGATTGTACAATTATCTTCTTTTCCTCTCTTTAAAACTTGAGGTATATTTAGAAAATTAAACAATAAGTTATGATTATACTAATGATGAACTAAAGTTCAGTAAAATTAAACATTACTCATTGCATGTGATTTCTATAGTATTATTCTTTATAAAATATGTGATTTATGGGTAAGTTAACATGTGAAAGGTTTAATTTGCATCGGCATGGTTTTTATTCTTGGCTTTACCTTAACAACATCTTTTAATCTACATGTAGAGAAAGTTAGGGTAGGACGAACAATAGTTATAGAATAGAGCTCTTGATTTTGAAAGGAACTTTTTCATTAGGAGAAGGTGTTCCCAGGACCCTGTGATGAATGTTCATAAGCATTTATACAGTGATCATGACATTATTCCTTATTAATTATTAGCTCTTATCTAAACAACCACCAGCTAGTATTTATGGGGGAAAGATTTATTTAAAATGGGATTATACTTCCATTTTCATTTTGGTAGAAAACCCAAGGATCTTGTGCTCTCTGATTCATGCGGTAACTTGGTCTGGATTTCATAAAGAATGTATTTTGCTGGGAGGTAACTTTGTTCAAAGAAGTGTTTTAACCAGTAATGGCATAACTCATAAAAGAGAAACTTCTTTTTGTAATCATTCATGGACCTAGTAAGCAGGATTGTTAGTGCTCTAGAGTGGGGGGTCGTGTCTCTGCGTGCTTATCAGTACCAGCATTGAGAACAAATGTAAAAGAATAATTGTTAATTTAGGAGAATTTGGTTTAAATCCTGAAAAAATTAATGAATGACAGTCGATTTTATCGGTTCACAACTGATGAATCAATCTCTTCTTTCTTCTGCAGTCATCTCAACTCGAACTCCACCTCCACCTTCACCGTTGCCATTTCCAACACAAGCTATCCTTCCTCCAGCACCATCCAGCTACTTTTCTCATCCAACAATCAGATATCCTCCCCACCTGAATCCTCAGGATACTCTGAAGAACTATGTACCTTCTTATGATCCGTCCAGTCCGCAAACCAGCCAGGTAAAAATGAGAGAGAAAATGTGATTAGAACCTAAGGGATATGGAACAGGGCTAACTCTTAAGGCATGAAGGTTAGTCAGACAGTATGTCTGGCAGAACATCAAGCTTTTGAAATCCACCTTCAGGAAGTGTCATGATGACTCAATAAGTTTTCATTTAAATGTGGCTGACTGACAGGTAGGAAGTGTGTTGCCGTAAAGGGGCATATTTATGACAACGTTTTTGGTTTGATATTTTTGGGTTTTCATTGACTGAAGAGACAGTTTATGCAGAAAGTACACTGACAAAAAAGCTCTGAGTTGGAGTTCACACCTCTGAAATACCTGGTTTGACACAGAGGCAAAGTGCTTATTTTAGGCAGGAGCAAGGTATGCGCTAAAATAAACACACACAAAAGAACTTACAGTTGTATTTATAGGCCAGCTATTAGGCATTAAAATAAGCTTCGCTAATGTAAACATTTTCAGTGTTTGATGACTACTTGAATATTCTTTGCACAGACATGACTACATTTAATAATGAGTGACAGTACTAGAAGCATCTTTTTCTTTTCTTTTGTAAACAGTGTACAGCCGTTTTAGAGATTCATGGTAAGTGTAGTGACTCGTGTATTTTTCACTCACCAGAGATGTGGTTCCTCCTATGGAGAGGTCATTTTGTAGGGATTTGGTAATAAGAGTAGATAGTCTTCGTGCCAGTGCTGGGTGCTGTCAATGACTGTAATATCTAAGATCGGTGGTAATGTAATTTTGATCTTATGGTCTGGTATTTGGCTTTGCTGCTTTACCTCTAAGACTATTGTCCACTCCTTCTTATATCTTTTAATGCTTTGAGGATATTTACAAACATTCTGTTATTAATGCTGTTTAGTTATTAAAATGGCAGTAAATCGGATGTGCATATTAATTCAGAATTAAAAACAGAAAGTGTGGAACGAGTCCCTCTTGACTTAATGTAATTGTTAAAATGAAGCAAAATGATCCTCTCTGAATGTTTGATTTTGAATAACAGCATATCCAGAAATCTTTGGGTTATTTAAACAGTTACCTTTACGTAGTCCCATTGACTAATATACTTAACTAATGTTCCTGAATTTTGAATTTGAAGTTAAACCGACTGGTTGTATTTTAGAAGAAAATTTTCAAACGGTGTAGTACTTTTAATGACTCTCACAATAACGACCACTAAGTAAAACAGTGGGATCTTAGTATATCAGTTTAGAAATTAAATTTGCTGTCAGAGCCTGGATTCAAACGTCTCTGTTCCATAGAGCATTTTGCTAGACTCAGCTGGGAACAGTGCATACAAGGTCTGATTTTAATTTGTGTAGAATTTCCATGAATAACAAAGTCTAATTAAGACATCCATTAAAAGTCCTTAACGTTAATTCAGTGTGGAAAATCTTAGAGTTCCGTTGGATTTTTTTTTTTTAACTGATGTCTTAATTAGGCACTGTTAGGGGAAAAATTATGCAAATTAAAATCAGGCCCTTAGTGTTATGCATTTTCTTTAATTATTCAGTGCTTGTTTTAAGTACATTTCAATTTCTTTATAAGTTAAGAGGGCATATTAGGTGATAATCTGCCTATATTGTTCTCAGTTTTTCTTCACATTTTCAAGGTAAAGATCCAACTTCTTAGAGAAGCCTCTTACTCTCATCTCAATTTTTTAAAAAAAAAAAACCCCTTCTCAGGATTTTGTATATCAGGAGCAGTATACTGAGAAGGATCATCCTTTCAAATGCTATGTCGACTTCATCTTCAGGTAGACCTCTCTCTTTTCACATCTGCAGTATGAAAGCTCGTTTATTAACAGCCTTAAGAAACAGAACCTTGATAGTGTAGCTTCATCTGTTTAAATTAGTAGAAAACTAAAGAAAAATAACTTTTCACATTTTTCTGACTCTGAGTCTCAAAAAACTTATCTGCATGGGCGTAGTAATTCTTTTTTTCATCACTTCTATTATATTTAAGTAAGAGAAATGTTTGTCAGTTTACATAGATTGTGATTTCATTCCAGTGGACAAAGCTTACAGAATGGGCAGGGTATTATCCTATTCTTTGGAAGCATTTTCTAGAAATCACTGTCATTCTGCTTCTGTTCCACTCTCTCGGGTAGGTGCTCTCAAGATGTTTTGGTAAATGCTGTATCCAGAAACATTTTTTATCACTGAATGTACCACCAATGAAAAATGAGACCTTTCTTCTTTCTTTAGTAGGGTATATAGTCACTTGTATATGTTCGAATAACCAGAAATTGATGGTCTGCTTTAGAAACAACCTACTTTTTTCCCCTTGGAAGGAAAAATGGATCTTTATACTACACTTCAAATTTGTTTTTGTAGGAACATCATATCTGCTTTGATTCCTTAACTCTAACTGAAAACCATTTAATATGTGTTTCAAAATAAGACTCTTGATATTCACCTTTTTTGTTCTAGAAATTGAAGAAAATGAGTACTAGTTCACTTATACTAAACTGTTCCTTCCCAGTATCCCACGACACTGTACTCGTTTTGATAGTTAAGTGAAGCAACTGAGATACCTTTTCCTCCCCACAGCAATTTGGAGATTAATTGCTTTACTGCTGTACAATTATAGTGAGACAGTCATGCTATTCAACGGAATACTTTAAATAAAATCAGTTTAAGATACAACCCTCCCATAGGTTTCCACAAGGGGAAACTATGGTCAATTTTCCTGACATAATGTTAAATACCTAAAATTACACATGATGAATAGTCAGGATATTCAAGAAGTCCACTTTACTTCTAGAATAAATAATGCAGCCACTGAGGAACTCAACCAAAGACTTAGCTCATGTCTCTAAGTCCCAATATTTAAGTGTTGTTCACTGTTCATCTTTTTCTCTACAGAAATAGTGTATGCGCAGTAGTTTATGTGCAGGTATTTAGATCAAGGTTCCGCTTCATTGCCCTCTTTGCCTTGAACAGTTAAGATGATAAAGACTAAATCTTTGTGGAAAAGAATGTCCTAGCAAATTGTGACATACATGATACAGTGGAGAAACCCAACATCAGAGTAATAAAGAATAGCGTTCTCTGTCTAGAAAAATATATTCCAGTATTTCTTCATACAGTGTACCCCTTAGGATTTGTCTGCTACCACTTAAACACTTTTCGTACCCAGGGACTAAAACACAGATAATAATATCTTTTCTATCATTGACCAGGGGATTTTCTGAGTGAATTCCCACAAATGTCAGCAATCAATTATTGTATATAACTCTCTACGTACAACAATGGAAGAGTAATTCAAATAATAATTTGATTTTTCTCTGTTTTACTTCAGTACATTTTAATTTACTTTTAAAATCTTTCACTTGTAGGTCTATGGTCAGTCCTAGTTCAGCATTTTATATCATTGTGTGGATTTGAAATTTTTTGAGGCTTTAGATCTCATTCTATCTGCTTGTGTGAGTAAATCACCAAAAGTTAAATGGAGATTCTAGACTCTAAGCTGCCTGATGTGTGTGTCTGAGTGTGCTTGTGTGTGTGAGAGAGAGTTTTTGAATGTAGAAGAATGGGCCTTGAGGATAAATGATGGGAACTATAGCATTTGATGTGTTTAATCTCCCAGATATTCTTGTGTTCCCTTCTGTCAAGTGATATCATCATTTAGGTGAAAACTGTTGCAGAAGCCAAAACGACTCATTGTAGAGAATGAAGAGCAAAGAATAAGGAAGCACTGGGTTCTGATTCTAGCTAGCTCAGTAAGGGCTTCCGTTTTAGCCTTGGGCTACGCATTTAAATCTTCCCCTGTGTTTTCTAGGCTACTAAATAAAACGACCAAGTCTACCTGACTCTCAGGGGTGGTGTAAAGATGAATTAACATATACAGAGTGCTTTGAAGATGAAAAACTTCTCTTAAATGCTGTTCATTCTTATTACTACTAACCGCTGACTGGCCACTCTGACTCAGACTTGAGAGAGGCCTGTGTGGCGATCACGCACAGTGTGCAGGGTCGACGCGGCAGCGTGCGGAGTGGAGTTGTTGGACAAGATGACTGCCTTTTGGATTGTTTCACCCGGCGTTCTGTTTTTGTTTTGTAGCCTAACAGCAGTGGTCAAGTAGTAGGGAAAGTGCCTGGCCATTTCACTCCTGTCTTGGCACCCTCTCCCCATGCCAGTGCAGTGCGACCTGTGACTCTGACCATGACAGATACTAAACCCATCAGTACATCCACTGAAGGTGAGGCAGCTTCACCTACAGCAACCAGTAAGTATTTCTGTAGGAAATGAGAAATGTCCATCAAAGGCGCCATTGGATATCTGATCCAAGGTGGAAAACACTGCAACTTTTCCAGCTACCTGACCAGATGGAGATTTCTCATTTGTGCGGAATGGGCAGGCATGTCTGTGGCCTGGCTGTCACATGCTCTCTCTTATCAAAGTTCAATCAGTGCATCATATTTGAAAAGGGAGAAGCTTACTTATTTGAGTAAACAGCTATTATAAAATCATCAGTCATGCCTGCTTGTTCAAGGTATACATCTAAATTGCACTGAATAACATAACACAGTGTACAAGGTTTTTATATCACCCAAAGAGAGATTAGATAATTGTTACTTATTTGAGCATTCCTATAGAAATCAAGTCCCTTCACAAGACAGACTGAATCAGTACCTCTGTGAGATAATTACATGTTTACATTACTGTAGGTTATGTCATTGTTAGAAACAGTCACACAATGTGGGGTGCAGGCAAGAGCATTTCAAAGCTGAGTATCAGGCACATGGCGCTACCTGTACTTTCATGATCTGTGACTTTTTTTTTAAACTTTTTTTTATTATTTTACCTATCATGGTACATCAGATACTATGCTTTTAAGCGTGGCCCTGACATTTTAAATCTCAGAGATGCAGCCAGTGCACTTACATAGCACATACACTCTTGAGCTAAGTGATCCCTTTGCTTATTCATATAGAATATATAGAAGTGTACAAGGAATTAATTTTCGATTGGCTTCAGCGAACTACTCGCTTTGTAGAATTGGGGCTGATGTGTACAAGTTGTTGGTAAAGCGGAATCAACAGGACCCCAGTAGGAGAAATTAACATGCTCCCCATCAATTGTACATATCTCTTAAATCCAGACCTTTTCTTTTCTTTCCTAGAGCAAGAAAATCCCCATGCTCTAGAAATTACTATGTGAAATTTCAGAGGCACTCGGAGGCACCACTGGCTCATTCTTTCCCAGCCATTGGAAAGATCCTCTTTTTTTTTGTGGCTTCTGAAAGACTAGAGAAGAATCATATCTATTCCCCTTCTCCAGAAAAATAGGCAGTGTTTTGAGTATACAGTGATTTCAGCATTTTTATTTCTCAAAATTTGTGAACTCCCATAGACTAATAAATCCATAGAGGCTTGTAATGCCTATGAGTAATCATCGAGACTTAGTAGCTTGTTTGTTGCTGGAGGGCTCTATACTAGTGACTACTTCCCAGAATGCACAGATGGATAAGACCCAGTTGAGAAGACTAAAAGTTCTTTTGTTGTAAAGATTAGTTATGTACATTACAATCGCTAAAACAATGTGTCCAAATTTTACAAGTGATATCATTTAATCTTTGGGCAAAGTCAGCATTTTAAATAAAAACAATTAGAAAATACAGATTAAAACACACACACACGACACACTTAAAAAAAAAAAAAACTACTACAAGACTATCATAGGATAAATGATTAAAACCTAGTTCCAGAAACTTCTGGTGCTTACTCTCATAGTACATTAATAGATGAGATTCAGAGGAGGGTCAGACCCTGATGATCACAGCTCATTTCAACCTGTTAATGAATTGATTTATACTCATATACAGGTTGATCAGAAAGGGATCAGATCTATCAACATTACAAAATATTCAAAAGGAATATCTTGATTGTATAAAGATGACTACATCTTCCCATTTTTCCTAAATAAAAGAAATATAGTGAGTAGTTTTTCTTTTCTATAAATAAATTAACTTACAGCTCCGTTTCTCCAGGAACCACTGATAATGAGAAACTGATCGTTTAATTGTTAAGCCAATAAAATTAAAGAATACAGAGAGGCCAAGACAACCTCTTTCTCACAGGTGAAAAGGAAGAGCGGCACAGACTCCATGCCCACTCTGTATGGGTGGCACTCTTCTTTGGTGCCCATGCTCCTTGTTGGTTTCCAGAAGCCTGGAGATCTAGTAGGAGCCACGAGCTGCTTACAGCTACCCTTGCACCAGCACTTCATTCAGGAGTAATTAAAAGATGACTTGTGAGCATCTTCAGTGTTTTTTAAGAAGTTGGCCAAAAAAAACCCTCAATGAATCAAATTGTCTAGTACTTCAAATGAACATGGCAGAACTAACATATTGATTTTCTTCAAAACTCAATTTAAAATTATGTCTGGATTCCTCATTAATCTAATAGTTTTAAACAAAACATGTTAAACTTTCTTCAGAACTATAAATGTAAACGTATGGTTGAAATGTAGTTCTTCTGCTTATTCTGACATGGAACAATGGAATTTTAGTGCCGGGAAGAAATAGATACATTAGATACACTCCTTTCATAAAGAAAGGAATATCTTTGGCAATAGGGAGAATTTTCTGTGAAAAATTCACTCTGTACCAAAAAGCACTTGTACCAAAAAGTACTTGCGAGGTGAGACCTTAGCAATTTAAGTATTGTGTTAGCATTGACCATATGTATTTACTACCTTATGGCAAAGTATTTAAAAAGTGTCATCAACCCCAGTCAATCAATACAAACTGATTTCTTGTGCTTACTGAAAGTAAAGATTTTTAAAAATTTTTTATTAAACTTCAGGTCATTTTCACATTAAATAAAATACTGAGCTATTTCATGCTGCATAATACAGTAAAAATGGGCTGTTGCTTCATATTAGTAATGTCAGATTTTCTTTTCTCTTCAAGTGAAAGTTTTCATCCCATATCATCAAGCACATCTGCTTAAATCCTATTATTACAAAGCTTTCACTTTTTCGTGACAGACTTTCAGTCTGCTTTTACATTCAGAATCACAGACCATCGTTGATTATTCCAGTATTAGACACTAAATTTCTGGTAAAAGGTACAGCTAGGAAAGGATCCTTCTATTTAGCCAATCCTTGGTACTTCTGTAGGACTGTAACCACAATACGTAAGTGTGAGATGCCCACACCAAAGGATGGGATATGGTTTACTGGATAGATTCTTTTTTGGGGGGGTAATTTAGTTGATTGGAAGTCAACTACCATTTCTTTTCTGTCACTTGATAGTACTCACTCAGGCAAAAGAGAAGAGAAATGGAGACACTTAAAAAAAAATTTTTTTTTTTTTTGGTTGCAAATCCCACTTCTGGGTTTCTTATACATGGACAGGGTGTTCATTCTGTAGTTCACAATTTTTATCTTTGTTTTTGTTCTTCCTTAATCAGCCTACACAGCCTCAGGCACATCTCAAGCCAATCGATATGTGGGACTAAGCCCAAGAGACCCATCCTTCCTACATCAGCAACAGGTGGGCAAGTTTCACCCAGGTGTAATGGTGTAGCCATGCTTTCGCATTGGTGCTTTCCTCCGCGCTGCCTCTCAGCTCTGGACTCAGAACGGGGTTCATGGGGCTTATGAGACAGAAATTGATCATTTCATTTTCCAAAATATTTTCTCATTTATCCTTTGTTTCTCACCTCTCTGAATAGGGTTTCTCAAATTGGCTCATGACCATTTTCCATCTCTGTCACCTGTATTGATTTAACATCATGAAACTAGTGTTTTAGCCAAAGAATATTTTTCTCAGTCTTCTTGGCTATTGAGAACTTACTAGCTTATAGCTTTCAAAGACAAAAGTTGAAGACTGATTTAAAAGCCAATTAGAGTGGGAGCAATATGCATTTAGTGTTTTTGAGCTATTTCATATTTTCCAGATGTTTCACCCCTCATTTTTGTGTTTTAGTCCAAGAAGATGAGTTACAAAGCTAAAATCTCAGACGACACATTATTCCCATTTTTAATAGGTTTGAATTGGTTTACTGATTTCAGATGTGATAAAACAGTTTTTTTTTGGTTCTGCTTTCTTACATCGTTTATGTTTCAAGTAGCATTTTAAATTTCACATCTCATTAATGCTGTAAATTTAATGCAAATGAAGTGTTTACCCAAACTGTGAAAATATACAGCCCAGATTAATGGTGGTTTATAAACAAATTAGCCACTGTCAAAAGCATGGACCATACCAGTACAAAAATCCCATGATTCTAGCTACAGACGACAGAAATAATTCTAAACACTTCAGAATTTAAAAATATTTTATGATGCATGTGTTTGGTGCTCTCAAGTTTTGATAGCAGAGCAGTTTGAAATTAACAGTGTGCAAAATATTATATAGGGAAGAATGGGCTATGAGGAAAAAAGAAAGAGCTAGCATTATCTAACTTGCTCTTCATTTGTAAGTTGTATGTGCATGAACATATCACTTTTTATATATGTACTAAACCTGTGCAGGTACTCATGCCTGCTTCTTTAGCTCTAGACTTGTCCACATAGCTATGCTTATTGTGACCACCTTAACTGTGCTTCAGTGTGGAATTCTCAAGTCCTTCCCAGTTGCAGGCCAAGGTGGCAGACTGCATGTATTAAAGGTCACCACATGCCGAGTTCAGAGAAAATCATGAAGATGATCGCTTATTCAAGATACTTGACATTTTGCCAGGTTTAAAAAAAAGCAAGACAAAACAAAACAAAAGAGTGAGAACTAACTGAAAACATCTGTACACAGTTATGAAAATACCAAATAATAATTAGTGGTTTTGCCAGCCATTGGCTTTTCAACATAATTCTCTGGAATGTTGCTTTTTTTTCACCTCTAAAATTGCTGTAATATGAAATGTGTTATAATTACTATAATATGGTTCTATTTGACAAATGTATGTGTTCATTGTGTTTTTTTTTTTTTTTAACATATGCAGGGTTTATAGGTTACTTGTTCTTTTAAAAATCATTCCACATATTTTTAGAAATATTTTTGTCATGGGCTTTGCATTATTCTTTATGACATAGCTCTAATTTCCAGTTAATTTTTAATTCATTAAAATGTGCCTCCATTATTTAAACCTTTAGCCCCAAACACATTTAGAATATTATAACCAATTCCATGTATTATGAGGTAGTCTTTCCCCCTCCTTTCCCTAATTCATGACAGTTTTGGAGCCTCATATAATTATGATCACAAAACAACAGTTCATTAACATAAAAATTCTTCTCCTTTCACATATCTAAAGATAAATCAGGAAAACTAAGCTAGCATCATACACATATGAATCTTAATGTAGATAGAGTTCAGAGCAAATTTTAATTGAAAAAAATATGAGTTCCAGAACTACAAACTTTTTTCATCAAAGACCACACCTGGGTATTTAAGTGGGCAGTGTCAAGTGACGCCCACTTACAACGTAAATATATTTTTGTTGAGTGAAATGTAGTTGGGAGAGACTATGTATATTGATCCTTGGCAGAAAAAAACTGTAAGCTTCATAGCTAAGAAAGTAATGCTCGATTTTAAATACCATGCAAACGGATGATGTGTCCTCTGTATAATGGAAGTCAGTGCTACTTTTTCAGTTGAAGAAGCCCAATGTGGCAAATTCATAATGAGCGACAATTTTGAAGCATGCAGAAAATAAATGTCTGTGCGTATCCTACCATACATGTATATTAATAAACTGAGGCTCCAATGAAAAGCCTATTATTTTTCTTTTCAAATGTTAAAAGTATCATAGAGATGAAATTTTATGTTTACTACTCAGGGAAGTCGAAACAGAAATAGTTTAAATGACTTCAGTGGAGGAAAGGTTATCCTTTCCTACAGCAGAAATGAGATTGATTTACTGTGTCCTTTCATTACTTTACAAAGATTTAAAAGAGACCACTCTTCTAGCGGCAGGTTCTAAATGCATTTGGTTTAAAGCACTCAATGATGAATGAAAAAGAAAATCAAGGGGTACATGAAATAAAGGCAATCAATCATTTTATATTAGCTAGGAGAAATTCAAAATTAGAAAGGCAATGGTTTTAGTCTGAGCGAGGTCTTTTAAACATTCTCCATTGCCTTTATAATACATGACCCCTTAAGAATAAATATTGTCACCAGGTACATTCTTCACTTCGTTGGCGACTGCTTTATAAAGATTTATCCGTTTAGGTTATGAAAAGTATTGATGTGCATTGTTAAGTGCTATTTTTCCCTAAAAAGGAACTTTAATACAGCCTACATTAATTAGAGTTAACAATAAATTTTAAATTGTTGAATAATCTTGACTCTCTTATAAATAATCTTTCCACAAAATGACACACATGCAGAACTCTCAGTATGGTCATTTCTAACTCACAAGGACACTGACATTCTTAAATTGAGATAGAAAATACTAAAATGAACCCTGTATGCTTCCTGTTAGAGTAATACATTCATGTTGGCAAATAGGAATACTAAAGTATATGCTTTTGTACCTATCAGCTTAGTACACATACAGTTGTTATTAGTAACTATACAACTTTGTGCTCCTTTTCATAATGGTTATTGCTAATTAGTATTGGTTGCTAACTGTCTCCAAATCCTAGTTTTTTCTGACACTAGAATTTCACCCATCATTGTAAATATGATATCTGATTTAGACCTTAACACTTAAATCATATGATCATGGAGACTACTTTAAAAAGATGAAGGTACACCAACTGATAATTTTCCATTAAAATAATCCTTTTTCATGAGTTATAATAATTGGTTCATGCCAGGTAATCAGGACTTTACTTTAAAATTTCCTTTATCTTTTAACACAATCTTGAATGCTGTTCAAGGTCTAGAACTAGACTGTCTTTGGAATCATGGCTAAGTTGATGAGTTCACTTTTGGCATGGGGGAAGTCTTAAAATCAGAACTTCAGTTGGATCTTCATTCTTAAACTTTTCTATTGGAAGATGGTGTGGTGGCTTGAAGAACTTTTGGGTATTGCTTTGGCAAACTGAACCCTTTTAGTCTCTGCTGAGAAATGTCTTTTTATAGTTTGGAACTTTTTCAGAAATGTGGAGGATCTCCACTCCAAATTACCTCGTAGAAATTTAGTAAAATCCAGTGTTTCCTTTCTACTTATACTTAATGAATACACTGTGCTTAGGCATCATAATAGGCAATGAAGGAACCACATTTCCAAGCTTTGAGAAAATGCTAATTAGCTAGCAAAGTTTTAAGTGCTGCTTAGAAAATACAGAAGTTATTATATAATCCTGTCCAACAATTTTAGTATAAATGGAGAATGAGACAGCTTACTGAATCAGCACCTATTCCTTATTTAGTCAACCTCAAAATGAATTTGCTAATTCTAGGCGTTCTTTCTTTGCTACCACAGAAAGTTTGGTAATATAAGAGGACCTAGTTAATTTGATTATCACCATTATATTTGAGTGTAGGGTGGTAATAAAAGCATAAATCCTTACTATTATACATGAAGAAACATTAAAAAAAATTATTGCAAGTTGGAAATAAAAGTTGGCAGCAAAGAAGCTTCTTGTTAAATAGAAATAAAAGATTACAGTTCAAAATAGCTAGTGAAGTGCATATTAACTTTTGATAGAGATTCGAGATTTTTGATGGACTAAATAGGAGGTCACTAAGTGTGATAACAAAGTCAAGTGAACTGAGTTTATAAGATATTATTTTCATAATCTTAAAGTTACAATCTACTGGCTATATATGCCACCTACTAATAGAGCTAATGAATGAGTGGCCTGATCAATTCAGGTCTTGCATTATTTATCACAATTGCATGGGTCTTATTGGTGCTTGAACTTCAGCATGTTACATCTCTTGCATGACTATATAATGCTGTAATTTCAATATTAACTACTGGGCTACCTTATATAGAAATATTCTCAACTCTTTTCTTGATATAATTTTAAAACTAGAATTTGAAAGTACTTTTCATTACACTGAAAATGTCTGTTACCAAAAAAAAAAATGGCCTTTTTAAGGAATTCTCTTTGTAGGATTTCTTTTTTTTTAAACTAAGGTATTAGTTGAAATCCCTTTGTAGTATTTGTCCTGGCAAATGGCAAAGCCAAATCTTGGTACATTAAAATCACTGGAAAGGTAGTCTTTTATTAGAGGCAAGCAATTGAAAGGACGCAAGTGGACTATCAACAAAGCTTTTCAATAAAGTCAGGAAGCAGGCTATCAACACTAGGGCTGTTCTTATTGTGTCTGTTATCATAATTGACAGCTTGACGTAAAACCCTATCACATGACTTCTGGGTAGGTATGTAAATGGATAAGAGGTCACTTTTCACATATGCAAGCTGGAAAGGAAACACATTTAAAGGAAATTTCAGTCAAAATAATGGCTGTGCAAATGTTTAGCTTTTTGACTAGATCTTTAAAAAAAAAAAATGCCTTCCGTGATCTGTTTTTTATCATTCATTCATTTATTCACTTATCTTTACTGGTTAGCAAAGAATAACATCAGATAAGCT